TATATATATATATATATATATATATATATATATATATAGGCAACTGTAGTTCACAACGATATCACGTCTGTCAACCAAACAACACGTGACAAAAAATTTGGATCATAAGTATGCAAGTCCTAGTTTGAAACTTGTATCCTAACGCCATATTCAAAATTACACGTTTTTTGTTTTCATTATTAATGATTTTTTCTTCACTTTTCAGTTCATTATAAGCCTAACTAATAACACGTTGGGGGCGGAGTTTTTGTAATGAGTAGGATAGAAGCATGAAGCTCGGATGGCGTGGTGGGTATCAGGTGTCTTATCACGCGAGATCTAAGGGTGGAGGGTTTCTGTTTCATCCTTCCACCAGGTGTTGGATGTAGAAATAATCGTGCACTTTATCATTTCTTCTATCAATTATAGGCTAACATAATATATCTTTCTACTCCGAACAGTGCAGTACTCCGCCAAAATAGACTATCTTATATTATAAATCTTCGATTACGTACTAACTAAATAGAGCATTAGCGTGCACAGAAGCAAGACATATTATCAATAATAATTTATTTACTACGATAATCCTGGACTACTTCAATTTGTTTGAAATGTATGTGAGATAAAACTATCTCGATGCACGTTTCTTTATTTCTAAAGTACTTTTATATCTGCTGTTTATTGTAGAGTTTTAATAGAAGGCAGGACCACTTTAATCTATCATAACTACAAAAGCAAAGGAATCCCAGTTCCATCTTGGTAAAACTCTGAAGAAATAGAAAGTTTTGTGAAGAAATATGGATAATGTTTTAATCGAGCGGCTGTTCTTTGACCCATAAGATTATTAACAGTGGATACGTCTGTTAAATATCCTGCTGTCGGTGGTTCAGCGGTAAGCTCAAGGGCTAATAATGCTACATTTTGAGGTTCGATCTCGGAGGTTGTAAAAGCACAGATAGTCGAACGTACAGTTTTGTGCTTAGTAATAAAAACTGTTTAATGTCTTCATGTGAAGGAAATATACTTATCCTCACATAAGCAATAAGCTCTTGACATGACTTTTTAGATAATTGCATACATAATGTTTAAATGTAATTTATAGTATTATATATATACTGCATACTTAAATATAATTGCATCGAATAAATGTCAAAACATTTTTTTATTGCAACTAACTTGCTGGAGTTAGACCATTACGCTGACTGGTTACCTCCATGCACATAAAATGACTGCGAAAATAACCAGTATAAACTCAGTAATGTAGGTGTCGGAATTTGCTTTTCTCTATTGTATTCTATTTATTTGGTAGTATGATCTGTAATTGACTTCCTAGTAACAGCCAGAGATTGTAGAAATGGATTGGTTTTGCTAGCCAAGGAAAATGATCGAAACTCTTACATCACATTTTGGGTAATACGAGCGTAGGAGGTTGTTGTCTTAAAAGACCAGATTCCTTGTCCGTTAGAGAAACGCAGTACTGTGGGATGGAAACTATTAAAATAACGTTCATATAGACCTTTAATGATAAGTCCAACACTCTGCCTTTCGGAGCAACCATGTCCAGCATTCTCTCCTGTCCTAGCAAGAATGTCCGACATTCTGCCTTGTCGGAGTAACCATGTCCAACAGTTTGCCCTATGAGAGTAATCACGTCCAACAGTCTGCCCTGTTGAAGAAATCATGCCAGCAGTCCGCCCTGTTGGAGTAATCATGTCCAGCAGTCTTCCCTGTTGGAGTAATAATGTCCAGCAGTCTTCCCTGTTGGAGTAATCATGTCCAGCAGTCTTCCCTGTTGGAGTAATAATGTCCAACAGTTTGCCCTGTAGGAGTAACCACGTCCAGCAGTCTGCCCTGTCGGAGTAACATATAAGTGTGTCGGTGGTTCAGCGGTGAGCTCAAAGACAAATATTGCCAATATTTAATTGTGGAGACAAACAACAAGTAAAAGGTAGTTTATCATCATTTTCTACAGTTTAACACTATTAGCACTTGTTTCCGGAGTGGTTTTCAATATCTATGTGTAGTTGTGTTCAGATAACACATCATTTTTTACACTTTAACACTGTTACCACTGGTTTCCGAAGTAGTATTCAGTAACTATGTGTAGTTGTGTTCAGACCACACATCATTTCCTACAGTTTAGCACTGGTTTCCGAAGTAGTTTTCAGTAACTATGTGTAGTTGTGTTCAGATCACACATCATTTTCTACAGTTTAACAGTGTTACCACTGGTTTCCGGAGTGGTTTTCTGTAACTATGTGTAGTTGTGTTCAGATAACACATCATTTTTTTACAGTTTATACATAAACTATCGGTCAGGTACGTGACCATTTACACATACACAAACCAAGGGACTGTTCGTTCTTTTCATTCTTTTTCACCGAATCTACGCCAGAAATAATACTATACTATTAAAAGAGAGTGCCTAACAATACAGCGTTCTATTTGAAGAAAGTTTGGTGATAACTTGCCAGTTCCTATTCTTTCAAAACTTTTGTATACTTAATCTACCCTATTTTATAGACTTTTGTTAATGATACGTTTAAAATATTAATTCTTGTAAAACTTATATTTGCTTAATCAGATTATCAAGAAAGCTGAATCAGTTTCAAAATTTGTTCAACTATCATCATCATTTCGTTGTTTTATTTGGAACCATTTTGTCTAATTTCCGAAGAAACTAGCTTATTTCTTTTTCTCTTCATGTGTGTGCGTGTGCGCACTCAATAGTTCGATTGCAACCAATAGTTAGTAACGAGGAGTTCATGTCTTTCCGAACCATGGTCATTCAACTTTTATAAATGCATACATATATGTATGTAATATATCTCACGCACCCTTATTACCTTGACACGTCACAACTCTTGGTTCCTATGGTTACATAAAAACTGGTTGCCACGCTTATATCTTGATAATCACTGTGGTCTCGTTTTGTCATCCTTAAAAGGTAAAGAAGAAATGGACATGCATTGATAAAAGGCAAAAGAAAACGACAGTTCTGACTGCTTAAGTTGATTTATTCTGGAGAAGGTTAGAATAATAGCTAGAATGATACACATATGTTAGGTGAAACCTACTTTTGTTGCTTCATTTTTCGGTTTTTGGTAAAGGTGACTTTCACTTATTAATTTCACATACTACCTTATCAAATATTTGATGACCAAACTTGAAAACATGGCATTGTGATAATTTTTATTTCAACTGTAAAGAGTAAAAATAATTCTGTACTTCTCGAAAGCCACTGTACATGTAAGCTAATAAAAACAAATAAATACTGTTGTGTTAACGAATCCGTTCTTCTGGAGTGTCATTGAACAGATAAGGTATTTTAAAGTAATACATACTGTTGTGTTTAGTTTTAAACCTAATAATTTCCTCGATGAGCCACATCAACGGTCACTGTACCATGACAGAGAGGTTATAGAAATTAATAATGAGTCACACTTTGTTCTTTGTATGTATATCTGTACATAATACGTTCACAAACCTCTGTTATCTTCTACATTTCCGGTGAAATATGTTATTATAGACATAATATGAGATCACCAAATGTTTCATGAAGTCCCATTTGTTTGTACTTTCATGTAATCGTATTACGGATTGGCTCTCAGTCATTCTACTAAATATCATGCCGTGTTACATCTGGTAAAGGCATACCAAACTGGCTAAGCTATATAATCCTTAATGATGTTGGAAGTTTCTTATAAATAATTTGATTAACAGAAGTTTAGACTTCCAGACCCACAATACCACTGTTGGTTGTTTGAAACAGGTGTGGTTTTCCAACAGACGAGCCAAGTGGCGTCGTCATCAGCGAATGAACATTATCAAGCCTATGGACAGCATAGAAGTCTCGTCCCCAGGCCCCTCCAGCCCACTTTCAACTTCTCCCGAGCCAACAACGCCCTCTAGTCAACTTCAGCCACAGGCTCCGAAACCTAGCGACAACGTTCCTCGAATGGGAGGTTTCAACTCAGCTTTCTCACCAGCTAGACCTTCTTCCTCCTCCTCTACGACCAGTCCTCAATCCCCTGTTTCAGACTGACCAAGAATACATTCAACATCAAAACTCTTCGGGATTCCTAGTTAGATGAAAGGTTTGTAAACAAGTGTGTTTTCTTTACGTACTTTGTCTCAGCCTGACACAAACAGTGTTTCGGTGATTGTTAACTTTTAATTGTCATTCCGTCCTTTGAAAGGAAATGTGGACTTTGAGCTGATGTTGAAAAATAACAATAAATTCAAACATCTTTTTGTTGTGTGAATGTCTGACAATGAAAGTAATATCAATAATATACTTTTTACAATAATTACTATGACGTTTTAAGGAACGTTTCTTTAAAGAGTTGTGTTTAAAAAGTGAAAATTCTGCAATTCATAGTTTTTTTCATTAATTGCATTTCCGATGTGTTTCTAATAACTTTAGTCATCAGTAAATCACTTAACTAGAGAAAAAGAAAACGCTTTTCTAGCCTTCTATAAGCATAACTTTACATGTACAAACATTATAAATTAACAAAAGCCATTGCTAATCTATTAATAAATATGACTGAGATGTGAAGTTTGTATACACTTCTGTAGGAAGTTTTAAAAAGTGTGTTTTGAAAGGTATATATATGAAATGATTTAGTTATATAAAAATGAAAAATTATTTCTTAATGTGAGGAACTAAGCATTCCTAAGTTCGCTTAATATATAATTTGTAAAAAGTTTGATTCTCAATACTGTCGACAGATGTCGAATTTTCTGTATGTAAAACTTCGTATATGCTATAGAAATAGGTCCATGTCCTATCAATATGAGGCGATTTACAGCGTCTTCAAAGTATTTAAAAAAGTTCCCAAAAATTGTTTTAAACTGCTAGTTTCTTATTCCAAACCGTCATTATGCTCTTCATACTTCTTAAGAACCAAATGGTTCGCTTAACCAAGCTATGGGGGTGAAATGTTAGTGGGTGGACAATGAAAGTCGTAATATTTTTATAAAGGTTGTTTTTAATGTATTTTAAGCTTTGTCAACTAATCAATCTGTTTTTTATGATCCACTTTAATGATGAAGTAAAATCAGAAAAGCTTTATGTTCATGATGCCTACCTTAAAGAATATTTGTTGATACAATTACACATTTCTGTTCAATCATACATTCATATAACAGCTTCCTACAAAATTATTGTAAGCGTTATTTTAGTTCAGTTTTCAAAAGCAGGCATTAAATATTTCAAAAACAATGAATAATAATATTTTAAATTTGCAGTCTTTCAATAAACTTAACCTAGAAATATTCAATTACAACCAGCATATACATGTATATATATATATCTGAGAAGAGTTAGTTTTTAAGTGTGATAATACAGCATTGACTTGGCGCGAGTTCGATTTGTCAAATAGTTTTAAATTTAAAATTTAGGTTTTATTTATAATCTTATTTTCATAAATGGGTTCAAAAATATAAAATCCCAGAGAACTGTTAAAGTTGAATACAAAAACTAACTTCGTTCAAATCCAAACAGGCTTCACAATATTTTTATGTTCTTTCTTGTAATACAGTATATTTCAACAAACTAACTGTAAAATAAGGATGTTTAGTTTGCTTGATGGGTGTAAAGCGAAAGTCTTAAACTGAGTTCTTGTATATTATTGATATTTGGTAAAAATAAAACAAAGTTTTATTACATTAGTGATTCTTCAATGTCAGAGTTGGTCATTTACTGTGTATATGTAATGTAATATTCATAACTGTTGTGCACTATTTCGTGTTTGTAAGAAGTATTTAATAAAGTCACTTCCTAAAGAGAATCAGCTTAGTGCTCTGTTAAAATGAAGTTCTGTTTGGAAGGCATGTAAAAACTTTGTATTAAATGTATCTAGGTTCCAACCTTATTCTATTGTAATTGCTTCTAAGTCCAATATTTCAAAATCTTTATGAAATTCAGATTACTTTCATAATGTATTATCTACATGGACATTTTATTTAAATCTGATAAATCTGATACTCCAAAACCTCTACGTTCTTCAAATTGATTCTATCATTTCTGAACATGTTTTCATAATAAATAATCTAGGTGAAAAGCTGCATGCGTTTTAGATGTGATAAATGGCCTATACAACACCAGGGAAACAGTATGAAAACAGAAAGCTAACTTCCTGCTCATGAAGTAGTCCCTTTTTTGCAGTCTCCATTTACAGTTCAATTAAGGAGTACTTGTTATGGAACACTACTGCAATAGAACTAGGAAACACACGGAGAGTGCGTGTAACACGTCAAAGTTTGAGATAGCAATATCGTACGTTTTGTTCAGTACCTTATGGGCTTGATGTCGTTTTTATTCATGTACCTGTTAATCACAGCAGCCTAGAATGTCCTTAACAAAGACATCTGGTTTTATTGTGATATCAGTCAAAAGAAATTGAAAGAAGGGAGTTTTATAAAGATCCAACACAACATCTACAAATAATACTAATAAAACTTTTATATATATGTTTCACTATATAATAACTTCAATATCTTCAACATGTTATACGAAAAATAGCATGCACTTTCGTATAATTTTGAAACACTTCTTTCTACTGAGAGATTCAGTTCAACTTGGTAAAGGAACGTGAGTAATGAAAGTATATTTTTTATCATGCAATATTACGTCTTAACTAGATAAAATTAATTACATAGGTGATCAGGATTAGAACATTTTGCATTAATACATTAAATAATAAAGTACACATAAAATGCAAGACACCGCGGATAAACAGAAGTTTCATACTGTTTGTTTTATACATTCTCTTCATAAGTTCAAAATGGAAAAAAAATTGTATGAAAATGGTTTTTAAGTAACTGACTTTCAGACTTTTGTTTTTTTAGTTGACGTGAATACAAAAGTTTAGTGCGTTACATCAAAACGATTTTGTGCCTCACCACGTCCATTTCTCTATGTCTGATCATATCATTCTATCTGAAGACCATGCATCTTGACAATAACCTGCAGTATAGTTTTCATTAAAAAAAGACTCCGTCGTAAAGCTGACATGACCAAAACATATCGCTCCTTCCTGCAGACTTTCCATAATTCATCTACTTTACGAGGACGACAGTTTTCTAGCGCTTTTTTCAACATTCAGAAAACACAAAAATCCCTATTCTCTGCTTCCGGTGACTTGAAAGATATGTCTTCGTAAGAAATAGCTGGAATATCCGTTTTATGCTCCAGCTGCTTAAGGCATGCGACGATTGAACGAGAGGTATGACAGGAAGCCTGAACTTCGTTAACCTATACCCTACTGGTCTCGCTTTCAGATGGAGATTCTTCTTGAATGTGTTGCGTACTGTTGTTTGGATCAGGTGGACTAATTTTGCACTGACCTTTGTTTTCGTGGATTCTCATCTGTTTCAAAACATACCACAGTTAGGGTACTACCTTTTTGCAGGTTTTTATCTGGATGGCCCTGGTACCCAAGTTGATCCATATCCTTTTGTTTCCCGATGCGGTTAAGTACAAAGGGTTATCCCCGTCTTCGAAATTCTAAATCCCAAATTTGAATACTTCTCTGTTATCCGAGTGTATGAATATTTTGCTTTGGAAAGGACTGTTAAATACCTTTTCCAAACTCTATCAGTTATCAATGGCATAACTCTACCTACTTAATGCGAAACAATGTAAAAATGTAGTTCTTATATATGTAGATCCACCATTTATGTTGGCTGTGACATAAGGCGTTATGACTTGCTGATTTATATATTCAAATTCGTTTTAATATAATGTACTCATTCCTTTGTTTCTAAACCAAAATACAACTGTTACTTGATCCTTTTCATTAATCATCTCGGTGATCTTACTTAATAAAATCAGTTTCCCATGTATAAACCTTTTTAGAAGCTTAGAGACTATACCTATAATTTATAAGCTCTTAACAAAAACATGATAGAAGAATGTTATAGAAGACAGAATATTCAGTCATAAGCGAATAGCTATAATCTTATAAAAGTCAGTTCATCGAAAGACTGGATATCCAAACATATATATTGTTTGGTGAAATTTTGATCAGTAATAAAATTTGAGCATTTCATCCTTAGGAAATTGTGTATCAAAAACTTAATACTATTGTTTTGTTCAAAACTAAAATTTTAATAATTCTAAAATATTCTGTTACATCACTAAACCACGAAAACTCAACCGCATAATACAAGTGAAAAAAAAAGCCTATGTATACGATACCTACAAATTAGTAAAAAGTGTAATATATAAGATGGATTTCAAGCATGCAAGAGGTAATTTGTAAAATTTTCAGGAATTTAGATAGCATTTCACAATACGTGTACTAAAGCTAAGTAAAATATAAAATGTTCTCATCAGGTCATACACGTGAATCCAATAGTTTTTATATTATTTGGGTGGACTTGGCCAAGTTACAATGAAAAGCTTTCGTCAGGAAGTAAACTTACACAGAAACGTTTGTACCGAATATGGGTTAACTCAATGTCTATCTAATAATTAAAAAAAACATCGTCATCGTAAATTATGTGTGGAAGGCTCATTGGGAATGATAGAAAGTTATACATATTCAAAAACCACTCATTTATTTAAAGTTCAATAAAATCGAATTTTCTAGAAAACAAAGAGTAAATTGTAAGACATTAATTTATAAAATTAATAATAGTTCACTAACTCTGCATGATTAACTTGTATGAAGACAAAAAACAGCTGCTTTAATGATGGGATGAAATTATTTATTTATCGTGAGGAAGTCAACTAAATTGGTCAGTAATATACCCAGCTATCTTAGTATCGGACTTAAAAGTTGTTCTTGGTCATATTAAAGCTTCTAGATATTGACCTAATGAACAAAAACTAAGTTGGATGATTACTTCAAGACTTCTATTTCGGAAGATAAAGCGAAGCAATAAGCTCTTTTCAAGAACATCTTAAAATGATTTTGAAATATTTTCGAACGCTAGTATATTTATTCTAGGAGACCTCAGCAGGAAGTTGTATTCTTCTAGGCCGACATTTTTTGATACGGACAAGTTTTAAAAATCAAACCCAGTAAAAGAACAAACAAACATTTAATAAGTTTCCTCTAAAACCAATATCAATAGTATTCCTGGAAAACTACCTAATTTCCGATCACGATTGAAGGTTGTGTGTACTTTCAGAAATAACATTATTTAGTAGTGAAATAATGTTCCACGTCTCAACAGGGTGAGTCAACAGTCTATACTTCCTTCGTGGTAATACCGGACATGCGCAAGCAAACCTATAGTAACAGTTCTTTTGAGTAAGTAAATAACGAACATGTCAAATGCTAGTTTCGTTCCGATTTAAATATTTTATTAGAAGGCGTAGTTACACAAAATAAAGGAAACCTGATCACTTGTACTATCTCAT